GCCTAATCGCTGACATGTAGTTTACTATAACTACCTATATAGTTCATTTTACATAAACCTAACCCTTACCGCAAGCGCTATCATAAATCTAACACCTACTCTAACCGTAAGACACAAGCCTGGAACTAAGCGTATATATGGTGCGCTACCAATGATACCTAATTAAATTTGCGTGGCAGTCATTCTTTTGTCGGGATGGGATGTGTCGTAGTAAGCAGCCATATTTTATGCCGGAAGTGTTTACTAAGATTTTTGTATAAAACAAAGCATGCCTACTGTTACGCAGTAAGTAGGCAGTTTTGCGAAAATAATCTTCTCTGAGAAGCAAATTAAACTTCCATATAAAATAGGAAATAGTTCATCAACAATTAAGGACATGGCGATGAGTTGCAAAAGAAACACTGACAACACCCACCGCTGTCTCCGTGCTCTTGTAGGCCGAATGATGCGTTGAATGAACGCTGGGATTTTGACAGTTGATATTACGAAGCCTCCTAAACTATAGAATATCTCGCGGAAATTAACAATTTCCATTTCTTTTATGCATATACAATATGGCCTGTGTCGGCAAATGGTATGTAGTGACTAGTTCCATGCAGGCGGCCTTGCGAAGGCTCCAATTTTTTCGGCTTTTGGGACAGCTAATCACAGGTGATGCTAGCTCCGCGAGAACGCGGCGGCCAATAACACGCCCGCAAACGTAGGCTGACCTCAATCCATCCGGTCCTTCGCCTTCAAGGCCAACTCAGACAGAGACAGACTGCGATGACTGCCTACGCTCTGTTATTCCGGGCCCGGCGCCATAGCAGATGGATCACACTCATCCGAGAGTCGTCGCCTCCTAACTTTTCTTCCATTAATTCTGTACAGAATAAACTGATCCTACCACTCGCGTCTCCGACCTCTAATTCTTTTTCTTCTTCTCCTAAGGGAACGATCCTGATCACCACAGCTGCAAGAGTCAACCCAACTAACCTTAATACCTCGATAGGTATTCTACAAATGTCCAACTGCGGTATTTGGCCAGCGTGCACCGAATAATCAATTTATGAAAAAATATAGAGGAATCGGGCATATATATGTTGCGGTAATACCACTCTGATTATACAAGATACCCCGTTGCAGTCCCAGTAACATAAACACGCGGAAAAAGGGCTGTACCAGCTCGGATATGCACATTGCTTCACTGTGAAAGTTCCCATATTTCCGTCATGCAAAAGCTCAGCGGTTTTGCTCTCCAGAGTAAACGGAAAACCACCATTATTTACCACACACTTAAGAATTGGACATACGTGACGGTTTAAGCATCGCCAAAAGCCTGAGAACGTATATGAGATGTGATCTCGCATAGGGGAAACTTCAATTTAGGTCCCAAAATTATTTGAATAATATAATGTTCGGCACCAAAAAGAGAACCATAAATTGATTGTAGGTTATTTTTCTGTTTAGTTTTAGTCATGTTTTTACTCCATTATTAAGTTTTTTTAGTTTTATTTTAGGTTAGGGTTTCTTCTTATATTACAAAGTTAAGTTAATTTTGTTTTAGGTAGTTCAGAAAGGTTTTAGTTTAGTTTTTAGTTCTGTTTTAGATTTACTACCCACTTGCGGTTACTTTTAGAATTAAATTGTTACGAGTCTAATTTAGCTAAGTTTACGTAGTTTGGTTTATTTAACTTATTTATATCTTGGTTCAGTTTGTAGTTCATTGTTATGTTTCATTGGTTTTATTTTATTTTATTTATTTTATTTTAGTTCAACTTTCTTTTGTCAGCTTACTAAGGTTCAGTTTGTACTTTACTTTTAGATTTATTAGTGACATGTGGTTTTTATTTTATTTTTAACTTCACTTTAATTTAATCTCGGAAATTCGTAGTTATTTACGTTGTTTCGCACATTTGAGCAGTTCCCGATATTTGCGTGGTTGCACATTTTATTTACGATGCACGTTTTTGTTGCCAAACCTTAGATTGTTTCAATAATTATTCCTGTTTTTTCCACGTTCATACGCTCGGTTTCTTTATATTTACATTTTCATTTCTCTTTATTAACGCCAGTCCCCTATTACGGAAGGACGGCGTTCTGCTCTGCTGTTTAAGGACCTAAATTAAATTTTTATACATACCAGGAACAGAAAACCAAACCTACCCATTTCGCAGGAAATTTAGCAAAAAGCCAAAGTTCCTTTTTTTAAATCAACAGCGAAAATGTTTAATAGTTTGCATTTCTTTTACAAAGGCTAATTATATAAAATGAAGGTTCTTAAACAGCAAATATAATGACGTCCTGAATATCTACAGATGTACTGGATTTGGTGCTTTCAAAGTGTAAATATAAGACAAGAGCATGTGTTTTTGTGGTCCTCACATTTTATGGCAGAGATCCTTCGGGTGGCCAGTCTAGCCAGATTAAATTATAATCGCTCAGAGGAGTGGGTATGCCTATTAATGCAGTCCAAATTTCGGCAATTATTGGCTCCTTGCGCGTACTTTTAGTTTTATTAGTTGAAGTTTATTGTCTGGTTTATTAGTTAAATTTTGCTAGCGGTTTTAATAAGCTTAATTTTTAATTGAATTTAGGTTTTTAAGCAACATACGGTTACTTGTCGGCTTACAACTAAAATATCTGCCTAAGTCCATGAAAAGAAATTCTGATTTTTAAAAAATGGCAAAAGCCCATTTTTATGGTTCTATTTTACTTTCTTGATTTCGGTATGGAACTGATATTGGTATGTAGCCTATTTGCAGGTACTTTTTACGCAGACCGCATGTTCTATTGGTAATAGTTGTCATTTCAACTATCGCGCTTAAATGTTTGGTTATTTAAATAATTATTTCCTATTAATTTTTCATTTTAGACGCTACACGTTTCGACGTATTTTTTTTTCCTAAATGATGTCCCAAGCACAAAATCCCTATCAACAACGCTACGGTAA